GAAATCCGGTACAACGCCCGAACCATGGAAAATCAAGGTCTCACTTTACTCCCATTTTGGAGAGGATACTCCGAACTATCAGCCCATGAGAAAAAAGCAACACAATCCTATTGAAAAATCTTTGCAGACGGTCTAGTTTATCAAAGATCTCCTAGAAAACCTGTTTCAGAAAACTCTTCTGAAAATAATGTTGGATATCAGAACATGCCTCCAAGTCTCCTCTTTCGAATGGCGAAAACCGCAGGTCTCTATCTTGTTCCTATCAAAAGTTATTCGTAATCAAAGTCGTCCAGTGACTTACTGGACACCCTATAGACTCGTTTTCCACAACGTTCATCAACTATAGATATCGCACTTTTATAAATACGAGAGAGAGTAATTGTGTTCATGGGCAGTCTGGACTAAATGTAAGTTATCTGTACCAAATTGTATGCTCTGTACTTGTTTATCGTCACGCAAATACTTTTTTTATACTATGTCAAAGTTTTCCTTTTGTTTTATATATTTTCTTCAATCTGTGTGAACGTACCTATCCATCATCGAACGATAAACTCTTTCTCTGTTGTTTGTTGTTCATAAAGAAATTCTTTTGTGATGTTCTCTGTTATGTCACACTCTTTGAAAGATCATCTCTTCATTTCATCACTCTCTATTTTAGATTTCAACGTTATTTTATTGTAAAAATCTCCCTCGTCTTTTTCTTCTTCTTTTTTTTTGTTGCTGTGATTGTTCGTCTTTATTGTGAATGTAATTTACTTTAGTGAAATTGAACACCGCACCGTCGTCACAAAATCATCTATCGATATATAACGAGTGATGTACAACAAATAAAATAAAAAAATATATTCACACATTCGTGTACTTACAATCGTTTTCGGTTTTTTTTTCTTCAATCTTATCATTCATTTGTGTTCTTCATACCGGGAAATGTATATCTCAATGGCATTTTTAAGTAACAACCTTGTTGTTACAAGTTGTACCGATACATACATATATATTATTTTTATCGCCTCTCGCATTTTATTTTAAAATTGAACATCAGATTTCTTTTAATGAACTCAAATACAACCATATCATAAACTTCTATAGCAAAAGTATGTGCAAGTTGACAGAAATTGTTCATTTTCATCTATGAAACAAGTAAGTAAATAAAAATGAATAATATGAACTTCCTGACTGAAAAGAAAAACACCAGTAACGCTTTATATCAATAGTTTTTAACTCTTTTGAACATTAGAAATTTGAAAATATCGTTTTTATCATGGTTGCAAAGTTCGATCAAATGAGAAGAAGATGCGAACTCACTTTGAGAAAGTTTTCGACAATCTTTTTTCATTATGTATCACAGGGAAAGGATGAAATTGATCTTAGAATCCTCAAGTGGAAGAAAGATACAGTCTAAGCAAAAATGAAAAACTCATTATAGCATATCGTAACTAATTATATACGGCAAGTTTCTCTATATATCGTTCTCAATAATTATAAGCGTGAAGTTCGATGAATGGAGTCAAGGTTATCATTAAATAGTGATTGCGCGATGCTAATTGTTTCTTTTTTTTATAGTGTAATTTCAATTTAAAATGTTTGATGTCAGTTTATACTAAAATATTATGGCTCACTAAAAAAAGTTAAAAAAATGGTATAGAAGAAGAAAAGTTGAACAACGTATACCACCTTAATTATTAATTCAATTGAAGTAAGTGGTTTCACTTTCTGATCATTGAGAGAAAAAATTTTTCGATTTTCATCAGTTTGATATTGTTTAAATGACTATTAATACTCATTCTAACATGTAATTTGCGATAGAAATAAAAACAGGTGAAATAATTGATATCTAACATATAAAGGTCAAAATACACATGCTGTTAAATTGATACGCTTTTGTTCTGTCAAATCTAAAAGATACTCTATGACATTAACTGTGTTATTGTGTTGATTCTGTAGGTGTCCACGTTTCTCACCTATTCTTGTTTATTTTTCTAGACAAAATCCTACGCACTTCCTATCTGTTTCCCACTAGGAATCTATAGAACCTTAAAGTTAAGGATCTAGTAGAAAGTGAATAGAAAGTTGTGTGGGATTTTATCTAGACTTCATTAATTGCATTTTCTTGTTAGGGTTCTATTCAGATCCGAACAGAATCCTAGCAAATGCTACGACTTTTCGGTATCCTGGATTTCATCAGGATTCTATAGGCTTTTGTTAAGATTCTACTTAAAGTAAACTAAATCCTAAAAGGATCATGGTAGGAATTCTCTATAATCCTACCAAGAAGTGTATAGATTTCTTACTAGTGTTGACGATACATCATCAAAATGTTCTAATCTTGAATATAAGTTTAAAGTAGCTAATCTTGTAGTAAAAACATACGAAAAAAAACTCGTTTTTACATTCATCATACACAGCTGATTGCACATAATGAATCAAATATGACATTATATATCTTCATAATAATCCACACATCTATAGAACATACTCAACTGATTTTTGACCATCATCGATAGAAGAGATAATATTATTTGATACATAGTATATATATATATAGTAAAAACACTCAAATATCAGATTCTAGTAATTTTTCCCTTTCATTGGTATGTGTTACTTTCTCATCATCATTATTATTATAATATCAAAATTATATTTTCCATCACATTTGCGTGACATATGAATCATGCTGCAAAAGAGAGATAAATGCAAACACCTTTTGTGACAAACACTCGAAACAGAATCACAATCATCGCTTATTATAATTTTTTTCTCTTTTCTGATTCACATGGCTTTCAAAAAACAAGATTTTTTGTTTCGTATTTCGAAGTAATTTTTCTTTGTTTTTTTTCTTCTTCGTAAATATATATCCTCGTGTCTTTTTCACTATAAATAGTATACATAAGGATGCTAATGGTATTTAGAAAACAATAAAAAAACGTTATTGTACTATTTTTACTTAGTGTTTTCAAGGAACAAATATATAAATACACGATATTTTGATATAAAAGTGACAAAATATTTCATATATAAACTCATACCAATGTTTAACAATGTGATTACAGTGATAATATACAAGGTAATTTTTATCAAGGTATTAGATTACATACGATATTTGCAAAAGAGTTATTCAAAGTCAATTTGTAAAAATGTTTTAGAATAAAAAGATTTTTTAGAGTTAAACTTATATAAGATCATTGTCCACTAAAGTTTCTCACGCTTTCACTTTCTGTTTTCGGAATGATGATAGGATTTCTGAAGTATCGAATATTTTAAATCAATTATACCATTTACTATAAGTTTAAAGTGTAACGGATCGATAACTGTCTACCATATTCAATGTTTTTGTTGTGCATTCACACGATTAAATTTATGTTTACATAATGTTATAAAAACTTTGATAAGTATCCTCTTACGTACATTGTTAGAATTGAAAAGAGTGTTCAATAATAAAATGTTGAGAAAAAGAAAATAGAACAAAAAGATTTCTTTAAGCAGGATATGGATGTGTCTTACAAGTATATACATTTTTGAGTTCATGTATCCCTATATATCTTAGGGTAGAATAGGATATATTCCTTGATGCAAATTGCGTTTATCTTGATCTATGAACGAGTAAATATAACTAACAAAAAATATTTTCTCCTAAAGAGAAAGAACTAGCACAAGAGGGTAAATTTTTTTTTTCGTATCTAAATGTGGTCTACTCATTGTTCCACACAAGTAATAAATAATTGTTATAAAGATATTTTGTTGTATTATAACGCATAATAAAATGGCAGGACACATTTAATTGTGGTAAACTTATATCCAATGATCGATTTTCATTATTAATGATATGAGTACAATATTGCAAATAAATATAATTAATATCAAGTAAAAAAGATTCCATTTAATGGAAATTCTAATCAAAAGGACGAAAAATCGTCCGTCATACAGTAAGTTTCCAAAGATAAATCTGTGATTTCGTAATTGTCACTAATTATTACATTGAATATGACTAAACTTATAAAACCAAGTAGTATGTTGTTTCTTTTTTAGTAAAATTTGGTTTTATAAGTTTATTCAAGTTTATCTTTCCCATTTCTAGCATTACGATTTCGAGAACTCTTCTAATTGTTCGTCTCACTGAATATGTGAGACTCAAAATGACGTTTCTTCTTGCTTTAATAGATCTAACTATAGTAACGCATCTATTATGGAAAAAATGATGTTCACTTGTTTTCGAGGAAATATGAACATACTTAGGTAGAACAATCCCTCTATAGAGTATACTACATTAGTTTTTCGAGGGTATATCCTTGAAAAACTGATGTGATATCTCTGGCAGATTTATCGCTATTCTCTCGTACACCAAAAAATAATTCAGCTGTGGTAAGCGACGCATTGTTGAAGAGTCAAAATTTTCTCAAAATATAAGGCATAAAATAATATACAAAGTTAAGTATATTTCAGACAAATACGAATTCAGTATATTTTTTTATACATATTTAATAAACGATTTCGTTAAGGCTGTACTGTATAGTAAAGCTACAAATATTTGTGAAGCATTTTTCGATATTCTGTAACAAACTGCAATAGATCTGAGCATTTTTCGCACAGATTCTGACGGAGTTTTTGCTACAAATCTTGTCTACACATGCAGGTGCAGAACAAAAAATGACAAATTACAACATTTGTGCTAATCGATGGCAGAAATCAGCAGACACATTCTACTAGGGAGTTACATATGAATAACAGACTTTCCAGTTGGATGGAAGAGAAATGCTTTATTTCCAATAAGACTAAAACATCTATTCAAGTAGTTTCGTCTTTTATTTTTCTTCTTGACCGATAGCACATGTAGGCAGTTCTCAAACTTTTTCATAACACTTGAAAAACTATCTCCTAAAAGTGTAAATGATCGGTATTCAATTCTATTGTATACCATTATTGTCTTAGACCGCGGCTGTTTGTAACTGTTGTTCTCCCTTTCTATTTCTTTTTTTTTATTCTGTATTCTTAGTATCCTATTAATGGGAACTTGTACATCAAAAAGGCGTGTTATAACGCATGATATAAGAACAAATTTAACAAAAAACGTGTTGAAAACAACCCCAGAAAATAACTGCAAATCAACTGCATATCAACATCAACTGTCATTTGAACAAACATTAACAACATCTTGGGTATCTTCTCCTCCATCGCCACTCTTAAATCAGCCACTACGAAATCTTCCAATAAGAGCAGCACCGTCCGTGAAAGATATTGTATATCATGATAAAATCGATTATTTAAATACAAACCCATATCTACAATATTTTCATACATCTTATCAACGAATTAGTTTAGATCAAAAAGAAAGCGAACATTATTGGTATAATGAATATCGACCATTAAATCTTAATAATAATAATAATAATATTAACTACAACAACAACAACGACAACAATCGAGTATTATTCCGACAACGAGAAATGTCTTCCATTCCAATACCTAAAACGGGGACGACAAATCGTACGAGATTACCTGTTTATCAACCTACGTCAACATCGTTAGCTCAACAACCAAATTTAGTGACTCACAGATCATCGCAAATACCTATCGTACCAACATCAACGACGCCCGTTTCCGCACAAACGACTCCTTCTTCGTCTATTCTCCAATCAAATGCTTCCAAGATTTATCCGACCACTAATAATAATAACATCACCAGCACTAATCTAAACAGAAACGGTACTCCTACTTCCTCAGCTACAAGCGCAAGTATTATCGCGAATACACACACAGGTAAAGAGTTTTATTTTATTATCAAATGTCTGCAAACATAACATATTGACAGACATGTATATATATGTATGAGAAAAGGAGCGTCTTGAATAAACTTGCGTTGGAAACTTGATATTCATTAACCGTGTGTTGAAGAACGTATCATCTTAGAAATATGAGTCTAACTTATTTATACAAATGAGTCATCAGCAGCCTTAGTTAGTTAAGTCTTATCTAAGTTACAACTATTAAATCAGAGTCTAATTTATCAAATCTCACCGGAATATGTCAAAAAATATCCTTTTTTCAAGATAAATTAAAGTATATTTATGAACTAATTATATTCTCTTCATTCAGTTTTTCATAGCATAAACCTTTTAATGTGTCATAGAATTATTTTGTTCATGACTTTTCATTATTACTAATATTTTATAAAAAATTATTTTGCTAAACTTTTTATACAGAAAAAAAAACTTTTTAACATCGAAAAGGTACTTCTTTCATTCACTGTTCTAGTATTTTTTATTAGTGCCTACCAGATCTAATTCATATACTTGAACGCTATAGCGATAAGAATGTGAATATATAGTACCGGGAACAGATGTAGAACTTAGGTCGTTTCTTTTTCCTTTCTGCTGTTTCAAATCTTTTTATTTTGCTTGAGCTTTTCATAAATATTTTTTTATTTCTTTTTTCTTTCCATTCATGTATCATCATTTCTTACCTGTCTACGAGACTGAATCATCGTCATTGAAGAAAAAAGAAACCTTTTTTCTTCTTTGCCTTATTTGTAACATAGTATTTAAACTCAAGGCGACAAACATCTATTCGTTTTGACAATAAGTCACAATGTCTAAATACAAAATGTTCGTTTATTTAAGAAAAAGAGAAAGAGAGAGAAATAGGAGAGGATGGATAGGTTTTGGCAGCGTTCTGTATTTATACCTGAATATAAAAAACAACTAAGCTCGAAAACAATTAATTCAATATAATATTTCCTACCTACAATCCGTTTTTTTCTTTCAGAGTTAAATGTAAGTAAATTTCTGTTAATATATTTGAAGGATGAACATGCAGAACAAACCAAAAGCAGATGTTTACTCTCATCTTCCGAATGCCAAAGCGAATAATCATACCCTTTGATTATTGACTGAGAGATAACAAATGTCTTTTTAATACATTGTCTGCATGCATATTCTTCAGACGAAGATTGTTTAACTTCATTTTCAAATATTTTCTCTCCTAATTCAATTTTGAACAAAGAGTCTTATTTCCTGTGATAATATATGAAGTGCTTGAAAGCGATTATTTATTAGATTAACCTTCATTTGAAACAGACGAAGAATGTTCAATAAACACACAAGTCAGAAAGTGAATTTATGTAAAACTAAATAAAAATAATATATTCGTTAATTAATTTTAGACTCTAAATCGATGTCAAACGGGATAACCACGAATAATTCGGAGTTTAAACGTCCTGCACCGCCGACGACATTTCATTCCAGATTTGGGTTTAAGTCACCGAACGTAGCTACTTCTGCGTTAAATACAAATAGTAGTAGCCGTTCTGTAAGCCCGATATCGACCGCTTCATCATCTTCCACCACCTCTGGAATAAAACCAAAAGAACTGAAAAACGGACAAATACAATCAAAAACGATCCCATCAAACAATAAATTGGAAATAACACGACCAACAAAATCATCATCAAGTAAACATATAGCTCAGTCTTATTCACCTTACAGTAAACAGACAAATTCGAATGAAAAACTAACTAACAATCGTACAGAACCGCCATCGTCAAATAGTCGTACAACACTAAAGTCTAATCGCGATCTAGTCAATAACAAGCAAATTCCTCCACAACCACCCTCTTCATTAACATCAACAACAGCTGCGAATTTCACGCGATCATCAAGAACTCCTTCTCGAATAGTTCATGAAACAAATGTACCATCAGTTTTATCGCCCAGAACACCATCAAAAACAAATATGGCTCGAGGTATATCACCAAAACCAGTGCGTCCTGTTCAGACACAGATACAACAGCAACAAGATGTTAGTTCGTTAAAAGACAAAGTAAAAGAACAAAAACGAAAAGACTTTTTTTCAAAACCTCCAGGTCTACCGAAACAAACTCCTGTAAATGGTGTACATAGCCAACGTCTGTTAGTCACTAACAATAACGAACATGTAGATACTATAGATACGAACACGAATTTTCAATCATTAACATTAGACGAGAACGATCATAATCAGATTATAGCATCAAATTCCGGTGATGTGAATAAAAATCTTACTTCGCAACTTACAATGAAACCAGTATTAATTACAACACAAAATAGTCATCAGGTATGTGACTATTTGGGTATTACAGTGAAAAACTTGAGATATCATGACAAAAATCTCGAAATATTATTATATTTTTACAAAAAAGCAACCATCAGAACTTAACCTGGGACCTTCATGACTTGCGTCTCTCTTTCCAAATAGCGTTATCGATTTAATCTTTCAGGCTCACATAATAAATATTTTCTTATTGTTCTGTTTTTAGTGCAACGAGCCCAAATTAGCCAATGCTGAATCTCAACAGTCATTTATACCTCGAGGAAAGTCATCTGATTCAGCTTACGCTAGTCTTCATAACAGTATTTCTTCCACACAGCAACAATCTCAAACTCCGAATGTAGCAGCTCCTTTAACATTAACATTTGTTAAACCACGTACGAATTCTAATGTTATTTCTCCACAATCTAATCGTGATCGTCATATAAGTGCATTATCACTTGATTCATCGTCAGCCGTATCGGATTTATTAAATAACGATATTTTGGAAGATGACAATTGTTCATTAAAATCCGATGATTTAATGTGTGATTTTGATGATACGTTAACGATGGATTCATCTCAAGTATCGACAAAAAAGTTAGTTTTCTCTCTATTCTTATTCCTTTTAAGTACTAGTGTACAGTTGTATTACAGGGATGTTTTATTCAACGTGAATATTTTGAGAGAATATATTACGTGCATACTTTTTCTATATTTGTTAGAAACTTATTTTTATTTCAGTGATCGAATAAATTCATTTTCATTGACTGATCAACGACAACATGAAAATAAACAACTTGTGAAAGGAACGTCAACACCAACACCTAATACGCTACATAATAAATTGTATGATTATTCAATAGCGTCTAATCTCTTACCATCATCATCAATTTCAAACAATTCATCGTCATCGTTTGTACAACATAAATCAGTTATTGATGATCGAAAAGATAAACGAGCGTCAACATCGGTTTTTTATTCACCAAAAGATAATCGTGACGGTAGTTTATTAGAATCGTTAGATGAATTAACACGATTAAATGGAAGGTATAATTCAAAAATTTTCATGGAAAGAAGTTGACTGTAGTGATTTATCTGTCATGAATGATAAAAAAATTTCAATAAAAGTTAACTTATTGTGTATTTTAGCCATAAAATTATGACACGATCCGTGTCTTTGAAACCTCCAAGTTCATTACCACCATTAGAGGATGCTGAACAAATTCCGATGGATATTGAATCATATCGGTATGTCAGTCATTCCTCTTCAATTATAATCGACTAAAATATTTTATTCCTTTCTCTTACATAGACAAGTTATGAAAGATGTGACTGTGGTTAAAACCATCCTTCATCAATTGGATCGTCTTTTAAAACAAAATGATGTTGATGTTAATCCGTTAATGAGTGTAAGTTGGTCAATAACTTGAACAAAAGTGGACGTATTTTTTCTAAATTTTTCATACTTAGGATTCTATGATCAATTCTTTGTACGGCGGTGATTTACAATCATCAACAATATCAAATTCAAAAAGAACATTAAACGATGTTCGTTTATCATCATCAACAGACGATACGAATATACTATACGATGATTTATTAAAAGTAAGTGAGAGAGTACTGATATGTTTCATCAGTACAACATGTTTTTTTTTGTTGTAGGAAATTGTCACATTACGTAAGGAAAAAGAACAAGACAAAAATACAATAAGATTATTACAGGAACAAATGGTACGTATACTTTTAGTAATTACAAAGCAAATTCCTTGAAAAGATGCCATGCAGAATCAGTTACATTTGAAAAACTTCACATTCATTGATTTTTGGAGGGAAGAAATAGGAAATCTATTTTTAAAGAGAAATGCTACTGTTATAGTTGCCGAAGATATCAAAACGATCCATATTAATTTCTGCTGCACATTTAGAATGATTTGATATTTCCTTCTATTTATTCTAGTACAAATATTCCAGTTCAAGACACAACTCAAAATTGACAGATAACTCAACTCAAACGGATTTTTAAAAAGTTTACAAATATTCTTATTTCAAAATACACCTGATCAAGTATATTGCATTTAAAAAGTACAATTCCCGTGACAATTTTCTGTTGGTAAGACGCCGCTGTTTGATTAGTTTTTAAGAAAATGACTATAGAATAATATATCTAAAAAAATCTATCGCTTTAATTTGCCTTTTAGAGTGAAAAATATGTTGTTGTGACAGGTTTTTTGTTTCCGTTTTTTAGCTTTTATTTTGATAAAATCATGTATTTTCTGCTTATTATTCTTTTATGCTATTATTTTGTGTATGTGTTCTTTTATTTGATAAGTGTGTTCATATTTGTGACATATGATAAAATATATAGTATACATATATCTGATCTAATGGGCAACGATTGAAAATCGTATGAGTTTTGTTTCATTTAATATGTCTTTAATTATTTCCGATATAAAATTACTTTCTGTAGAATTCATACTAGACATATGGTTCAAAACGACTTTATCAATGTTTGTTGATGTTTTATCATATGCACTTGCACCTTGTGCATCCAAACGTTCATAAAGTATATCAAATTGAGTGGAAATAAGTAAGAGTAAATTGGTCAAGGTTTTAATATTTTCACTTAGTTTATAAATATCCAATTGCGATCCATCTTTACTGTGTTAAGTAAAATAGAATAATGATCAGAGTTATTTGAACAGTATATTAATCTTCTATATAAGCATATATACAAGATATATTGCGTAATCCTTCGATACATGATCGTCTGTTCCAACGGCACTTATTAGATTCTCCCAATGCACAACGCGCAATAGTATACAAAATTTATAGTTTTCGGCGTATAGATAATATATTATCATAGCAGATCGAAATGACTCAGGCATGCGATCAAAGTAGTTTTTAGTATTTCATTTTGTTGAAAAACTTGCTTCTAGCCCTATTAGTTATATCATATAGAGAAAATTAGTGGGAGATTCGGTGACTTTTTTGCAAAAAGTTTTCAAATTAGAGAAAATTTCATTAAATTTCTCCGAAACTGAAGAAATTTCGGTTAAAAAAGCAGGAAGACCCGAGCGTTGATGTCGACCTACAAGCAGAATAACCAATATTTTATAATTATTTTTCTGAAATGTACTAGGCGGAATGGGCAACATTTTAGTGGAAACACTTTGCTCTGCTGAGTTACGGTTAAAATAAAAGTGGGCCATACGGAAAATTTTTGCAAGTAGTAACGGTTTTTATTTTATCATAAAGTAGCAATAAAGTAGAAATAAAATTGCTGTGCAGTCATATGAGTTCAGTCTAAGTGAACGTGAGGCGAATGGTCTCGCTTGATTGCATCATGTTCCCGAAGATCGAGTAAAACATGGTGAAATCAGTGGCTCAGCTGCCTGAAGAAAAACTTCGGAGCTTTTGTGACCTGGAACCTGTACTTTCCAGTATCCTTTGATCCAAGAAGCGCATATCTTTTTTGGAAGATTTTTGCACGTGTAGTAGATAACAATACAAAATGCTTTGCATCATTGGCCTACTTGATCATCATTGACCCATTGATCTACTTGACACTACGCTATATGCCGACCGAATCACCCAAGTTAACAACCGCTGCCGCCTGCAACCGAAACTCGGTCGAGTCCAACTATTTCAATAGTCAACACCAGACTTGTTGACAACTGGTACTGTAATTTAGGACTTCCCATTCATATTTGAATGAAGCGAAATATGTCCGACTTGTTTTGCCTTTGTCCACCTATGTACTACCGAAATACATGTCAATTTCAAAATCAGCGTGTCAGTCCCACACTTCACATCACTGTTTTCACTTTCTTCATCACTTTAATCGACGATCAAGGGCATCTCGAATCACATGATCACATTGAATATTTGTCCATTCGAGATTGTGATATCAAATTCAATGTGCATTTACTTTATTCAACTCGGTCAAAAAAATTCATCAAAAAATTATTCTGTGCGAATTGATGCCTTTAACAAATTGACATGGATTTATCGAACCAGTTGGATATTTCCACTCCAATTTCCATTTCTGTCCGTACATCGCTTAGCAGTTCTATTCACAATTCTCATTTTGAATACTGAATCTATCCCAAGACGTGCAACACCATGTATTCATGGACGATGCTTTAACTATGTCAACCCACCAAGATCGACATTCTGTCGATGTTCTCCTGGTTGGTCAGGTCTTTAATGCACCATCAAACATACGTGTGACTGTGCACTCGGCTCTCTATGCATTGCTAGTTCGACCTGCGGCTGTCTTCTCGCTAGATTTGGTCCTCGAGGTTATCTTCGTCAGTCTTGATGTCATTCCGGTTCATGTCTCAACGGTGCTCAATGTGTACCCGCTGTCGAACGCCACAAGTCGGCCATTTTAACGTGTGTTTGTCCTCAGCTATATTCAGGAGATCGCTGTGAACATTGACAGACCAAAATCGACATATCGTTTCATCGTGGACTGGTTATTCCACCATTTGTACTTGTTTCACTTGTTTATCATAACTGTTCAAAACGAAGCAGAACCCATTGGAATTCGAACAGCACGATGAAGAAAAAGTTTTGATAAAAAATGTCATATGATGGATGAGAAATGTGAGTTATTACAGATATTTTGTATCCACGATGATGCGTTCATTCAATTATCAACTTAATTTATGTGACTGGACAAATTCATATGATAACAAGCACATGTCACTAATATACGTAGCAAGTGGCGTGGCTTGCTCATAATCTATGTTTAACATCTTTTGCCCACTGGAATCACATGTACTATTTCAATTAATAAAATAAGTATATTATATCTTAGTAATTACATTTTATTTTTACTTTATGGCACGGTTGCCATGCAATCAGAAAATGTTATGGCGGTATAGAGCTAAGTATAAGTTTAATCTGTTCACAAGTGACTGACTACTGGGAATAATATATAATGAATATCGGAAAATTATTCGGAAAAAGCAAAAATAAAAACAAAGCGAAAAAAGAAGAAAAGTGGGTAGAAGTTTAAAATGTTTTTGATTTTAGAGATGCATTCTCCTCTCTCTTTAAAAAAATTTTTTAGCAGCTGCTCAGTCCAGTTGTAGTTTCATTTATCGATTATATTTCTCAAATAAACAATGCTATTTGTTTCAGTTCGATACTGAATTTACTGTTAGACTATCTGTGAATTGAAAGTACTGATTTCATGGGAAAATGACGGCCACTGCTGTTGTACTATGTCTTTTAAAGAGGCATCTCAATCAATTTCTAAAGTGAAAGTCTCTCTCTAGTTAAGGATAGAATGATGCATCAGTAGAAAAGAATATTGAACAATGATACAGGTATTCCAAGTTGCCAAGTCCATTTCCTATCATTTTTTTCTATAGACGATTGAGCAATACAATTCAAGCAAGAGAAGTGGTTAAACCACGTGTTCACGAAGACGGTATCCTTAGTGTTTGTGGAGTTGATGATACTTCCATTCTTTCCGGTAGTCAGGATCGAGTAAGCAACGTAAAATACTTTTTGTACAAATTTTAATTTGGTGCAGTTTAGAACATTGTCTGGTACGATTTTACCACACATCAAGTTCGTCGACGATGGATAGGTCATGAACATGATGTTGTCAAGGTATAATTAGTAGTCAATTGAATTATTTTAGTAACTTTTAAGTATTTTACTTGTTTAGGTAATATACGGACAAAAAACAGGTTTGATTATTTCGTCGTCACGTGATAGGACAATACGATTTTGGTCAACAACGTCAGATAAACCGTCAAAAATACTCGAAGGACACGAATTAGTTGTGACTGGTATCGCTGTCAATCCTGGTACATTCTAATATGAATTATTAGAATTTGGGACTCTTTTTGATATCTCTATCTAGATAATACAACTCTGTGTAGTGGAAGTCGAGATAACACCATACGATTTTGGGACACTGATTCTGGAAGAAATTTAAAAGTTCTCACGATTGGTCGAAATCTCGTAAGACTTAATCTCTTTTATTATCTTTCGTTACTTATGTATTTGTCTAACTTTAGATTACCGACATTCGTTGGTCTACTGATGGAACTTGGATAGCACAAACGGGAGAAGACAAAGAAATCAAGTATGACTAGAAACATTGAGATATAAAATAGTGATAAAATGTGCTTTTTTTCTAGGATATACGATGCTCGTACAATGACTCAAGCCGTATCATTTCCGAAAAAACAGTATATCCAAACATCCTGTGATATTTCTCATGATAATCGGTTTTTGGTGAGTAAACAACAATGTTTAGCTATTTATCTTTTAATTACCTTTTTGCTTTTTTTAATGGTTAGTTTATTATATTAGATATCTACCAGCAACGGTTTCAATAACAGTGGTGCCGAAGTATCGGTAAGTAGAATAAACGTATTAACAACAGAAAACGATCGCTAATATTATCATTAATTGTAGTTATGGGATGTTAGACAACGTCAATTATTATCTGAATTTAATGGTCACACACAAACGGTAAATTGTGCTCGATTCGTTGATCATGATCCTTCGTTGGCAATATCATGTGGCAACGATGGAAGAGTTGTTCTCTGGGATATTCAACGTTCAAGTGAGTTAAAACAATAATTTTAACTAAAATATACGTGTTTTATTTTCTATTAGTGGCAGTGTCGGATTTATTCATTGAAAATTCAGTTGCACTATCATCGATTGCTGTGTTAACTGTACAGAGGTGAAAGTATCATTCGAATTATATATATTCTTCTTTCATGTTTTTTGATTTTTCAGTTTTGCCACATCTGGTCTCGATGGTAAGTTGAATTTAATGCAACGCAATAATCGTCGTTTACAACTGATCGATCAAGTATGAAAATTATTCTTTCATGACGGTTTTATCGATTTGTTTTATTAAATATTTATAATATTTCTTATACCAAAAATAAATTCTAGTCGACGTGACTTTGCATTTTATTCCAGAAAGAGCAACACAATTTTTTACTACCTTGTTATACATGTTCATTTTGCTTTTTAATTCTTTCTTTGTAATTTCCTAATCATAACATGTTTTTGTTTTATACAGCACTATTTTGAACATACGCAGATTGTATTTATTGTACTTATTGAGATTGTTAAAGAATAAATATCTGACTTAATCGAGAATTTTTAGAAGCATTTGTAAGGTGCCGGCAATGCGAAATTCAAGTAAAAATTTTTTTGCCGTTTTTTTTACATCATTTGATAGAGTGAGAGTTGCTGATCACGAAAAACAACTTTTTACCTTACACAAATATCTTTTCCAGGTCGGAAAATACGAAAAAATCGAAGTATGTCGTATTTTTCAATAAACACATTTTTTTCAAAATACGCCTTATATTTCGGTTCGTGCTTTCTCTGAGTTTCTAAAAATATTTTTTTCAGACTCAGCATCAAAAACTGAGCCTAGACGAGTTGTTAAATCGGCTTGTTTTTAAGTCGTATTTGACCATCGACGAGACGATGCGTTTTGTCTCTGACTTCTTCGCCTACTTACTCTAGGCATCTAAATCTAATTTAGGTGAGCTGAGAACGATAATATCTTAAACAAAAACACGTCTTATTAGACACATCGTTATACTATGATTGTTGGAGAAAAGTTTTCCCGAGACCCCTTGATGACCCTCTAGAGATCTCAAAAGTATATCCATTAGATTCATCATCGGTTTTTGTCTATGTAAAAAGATGTTCACTTTATTTGAATAAAAAATAAGCATTTTATTGAAAAATGACCTTCTCCTTTTTCTATGATATCAGTAAAAACGGATTTTTTCAACAAAGGAAAGAAAAGGAAAAAAAAGAATGCGGAGTTTTGTAGCTGATGGTATGTTGAGTTGAATGAGATAAAACATTTGACTTCATCGCTTATGTAAAAAAAACTTGATACGTTTACAAAAACGACTTATGCGCATTACACTCGGTGTGATTTGGAGTGCCACTGTGAAAAGATGTCGGGGTCTTAAGCCGATTTAACAACTCGTCTAGGCTCAGTTTTTGATGCTGAGCCTGAAAAAAATATTTTTAGAAACTCAGAGAAAGCACGAACCGAAATATAAGGCGTATTTTGAAAAAAATGTGATTTTTGAAAAATACGACATACTTCGATTTTTTCGTGTTTTCCGACCTGAAAAAGATATTTGTGTAAGGTAAAAAGTTGTTTTTCATGATCAGCAACTCTCACTCTATCAAATGATGTAAAAACACGGCAAAAAGAAATTTTTACTTGAAGTTTGAATTGCCTGCACCTTACATGCGTAAATGTTACTCAGAGGATTTTTTTGATACCAAAGCTTCCTTCGCACGCGTTAGCCATTTTTAACACATTTAACAGCATTAGATATTAATAATCTCACATGCGTTAATTGATTTAAAAAGAAAGTTCTAATGCGTTGACATGGGTTAAATTTCGCATATCAAAAGTAAACGAAAAAGTTCGCATCTATTGAAAAGTCGTTAATACGTTAAAATGACTTAAAATGGATATTTAACGCGTGAGCCTTGCAAAAAACGCGTTATAGTCTCATATTAAATTTTTTTAAGGCATTTTTTGCGTTAAAATTAAATTAACCACTAACACTTTTAACGCGTTTGGATAATGGTGACTATTAACGCCTGATAAACTCAATGCTCTTCAACGCGTTAAAACTCTTTTAACGTACTTTAACGTGTTAAGAGTTCTTAATTCATGCGAACACATTGAACTTTAAGGCATTCAAAGACCTTGAAAAATTTTAAAGCATGGGTTTGTATATTCAAATGCATTTGACGACAATCGATTTCGAGGCGTTCGAATGTATTAAGTCTTTTAATGTATTTTAACGTATTAAAATTTCTGAATTCATATAAATGCAAGAAATTTTAACGAATTCACGTGCATTAAAACTGTTCAAGGTCTGTAAACACATTGCAATTTCTGAATGCATTTCAGTTCGTTAAAGCGTATGGGGTCTGCATGAATTAAGCAGTTTTAACACGTTTAAGTATGTTAAAAACCTTTTATACATTGAAGCACATGAAAATTGTTTCATTCACGAAAACGCATTAAATTATTACAATTTTTAATGCATTCATCTACAGCCATATAAACAGAAGGCTGAACTGTTCGGAGGAGTCCTTAAGGCCTGTGTAGTATGTCTTAGTGGGAAGAAAGGGTCGTCCTAGACCAAACTTTTTGAGAGAAATCAAATGGTGATGTTAGAAAGAGTTGAAAATGCTTCTCTATCGAATGTGGGTACGATTCCGTTTTGAGAAGTGCTAATGTGTTCGCACACATTAATTTCTAATGCATATGAACGCATTAAATGAACCAAATTACTTTTTAAGGCATTCCAGTGAGTGAACTTACTAATGCTTTTAAATATTGTGCAGAGAGAAACTTACAGATTATTTAACTTACTTATCTTACATAAAAATGTTTGAGAGAAGTTACACACAAACTTTAGCTTCTGTATAACTTATCCTTAGAACTGATTAGTTTTGTTCCGAGAAAGCTTCCTTGAAGCTGAAACTTGTACCTTCGATGTACTCGAATTCAGGAAGCTGGTATCTTGAACAAGAGCGAGATTTATTGAGTAAAAAAACTAAACTTTCCTACATATCTAAATGAGATTATGACACACTTTGAAAATCTCAAAACATTTGTTGGAAAAGGTGAAATTTAAGATTACGCAAGTCTTTCTTTCGATTTGTTCAATAACGAGAGGCATTGACAGACTTGTGAGTGCTGAAAATCTCTTATCTTCTGCAAGTAAAGCTAGTTTTAAATTATAATTTAAGTTAATGCATTTACCAGCTTTGAATTTTCTTGATATTCTAATGCGTTTTTAATATTCAACTCGTTCAAATGTCTTACTGAGTATACCATTCAAACTTATTAAAGCTTTTAACGAGTTCAAATAGATGAATGCGTTAATTTACCAGGCGTTTGCAAGTATTAAAAGAATAAAATTATGCTTTAAAGGCATTTGAACGCCTGAAGCATTGTAAGACGTTTAAATACGTTAGTTAATAAGATGTTGAATTTGTAAAAATGCATTAGAAAAATTAAAATAGTTAAGCTTCGAAATGTATTAACTTTTAAGACATGCGAAAGCGTTTAAAATGTTTTGAACTATGTAGGAAATAAACACCGAAAGATTGCATCACGAATAATTCTGATTTAACCTTTATTCTGTCAGAATACAAGTGGAAAAATATTCCATTATTGTATTCTAAACTAAAACTATCGAAAAACACAAAATCAATTTTGTAGGAATGAAGATTCGAACACGTGAACTCAACTTTGCAGAAACTGCAAAACTAAATCCATCGTTCTGTGTGTATATTCTGTTCAACGACTGAAGTTGTGCAATCGACTCGATCTTATCAGTAGTCATTTCTCTGGTATGTTTTTTATGTTCTGCTTTTAATTTAGGAATAATCTTAAAAGTGAAGTGAACGTTTACCAGTAACATTTTATTTATCAGATGCTTTCAGGTTTTAAAAGTAAATAAATGTGAGAAAGTATATGTGCATAGATTTACATTTATATTTCAGAGCAATGAATTACCTTCTTCTACCCAGAACCTGTTATTTATTATTGTTGTTTGCCATTTTTGTCATATGCTTTTTACAATTCGGGTTACGTCTAAAATCTACAGATCATACTTATAGCACTGCCTCTACGCAAAATATTAATAAACAACTGTGTAATAATTTACTGGCATCCTACCACAAATGTGTTGCCTATTCAAGTAGTTTAGCCAACAATGAAAATGTCGATAATGGTTGGGAAATGACTGTCGTATTAAGACGAAAACTTGGAAGTCAACCTCTGACTAATGCTTCATTATATTGGAATGAGAATGATCGTTTCAAACGTTTGAACAATTTATCTTCAACAAATTGTAAAATTTTGTATAACGGCGCTCATAAAGCAGGAACAGATGGACTACGCTTTTTACGGGATTATCCGTCGTGTCGTGTATGGTTTTTGGAGCCCATACCAGCGTTTTTTAATAGCTTAATTCATTCTCATCGCATTGCTCACGAACTAGGAAAACAGCGTGGTTTTGCGTATAATATTGGTTTATCGAAAGCAAACGCTAATCTTGATATCAGTTCTCGTGATCTAAGTGATGATCAAGGTTTAACATTGATTGGGAAGACGTCTCAAAAAAACAGTACAAACAAAAATCAATTAGTGATACGGGATATTAGTGAAATCTTATTCGAATATAATTTTCTCTCAAGGGAGTTACCTAATCCAGGTGAATTCGATTTACTTCATATGAACTGTGAAGGATGCGAGTATGACGTTCTAGAAAGATTAATTGAAACAAATTTGATTCGTTATATTAGAATTATACAATTTGGTTCACACCGTCCTAAAGCGATTCGAGCAACAATTGATCAGCGCTACTGCTGCATACAACAACAATTAACTTACACACATGAAAAACAATTTGGTATACCATGGGGATGGGAAAGATGGAACCGAAGAAACTAACATTTCACTATACTGTTGTCACTGAGAAATCAAGAGTTGTACGCGATAATCTAGTGAATATCTGAACTTCTTACTTTTACATATTTTTGACCCAGTAAACGCCTGTTACAATCAATTTTAAGAATACTAGAAAAAATTGTATATACAAACAAAAATGTGTGAAAAAAGCTAAGACACAGATATAGACCAAAAAGAAACTATTCAGTAAACATCTGATTACTGCCATGGATAAGAGATATCTTCAATCGTTCTTTTCTTTTCTACCCTTTATTTTAAAACATTTCTTCTATTTACTTCAGATTTCTTTCTTTCAAACATCAGACAAATAACTTATTGGAGAAAACTTTAATGAAAACTTTTGCTCCCTGTGCTCCTTATCCTCGAAATACTTTATTAATACTTTCTCTACCATTCGTTTTAGTAATATTTCTTTATCACAAAGACAAAATCACAAATC